CAGTGATGAAGCTGGTATGTGTGCAGTACACAAGCCACGGTTAAGACAGCTGACTCCACTGTGATGTGACCCCCCCCCCCCCTCCCCCTCCCCCCCCCCCCCCCCCCCACACACACACAATCAATTAAAATCCTCAGCTGCACAGCATTGACCTCATTATAATCAAAAGTAACTAATAGTCATTTGCAAGCCAAAAAAGGTTCAGTCAAGTGTTCATTTACACTAAGTGCATGAGCATGGTTCTGTGCTCTACTCTGGGCCTCCGATTCTGACTTTGCGATTGTGTTGGTCCTCAGAGCAACTCGGCATCTGTTTTGACAGGCTGTTGTGAAACTTTGAGGACGTGTGTGCCATGGGACGAGTGAAACGAGCAGTGTCAGTGTTCCTGAAATGAAAAGCGTTTTCTCCGTTTTCATTTGCCATTCAGTGCACCTCTGTTTTGTCAGGAAAATTGGGTTGTTGATTCACAACTGGGATGTTTCTTTTCAAACTCAGTGTCTGACTCTCTTGCTGTTCGTGGAGAGGATGATAATTTGTGTGAAAGATGCTCTCAAGAGATAGAGTTGTCGTAATGAAATGGGGTGCTGTTTTAATTTTCACTCTTTCTGTAAAAATGTAATCAGGAAACTTCTATGCACTCTGAGAGTGTAGATGTTTCTGCTATTCATGTGTCCCTGTTTCTTCTTGCTATAAAAATAATATGTCTAGAGCCTGCCCTCACTTGTTTTGTCAAAAATGGGCTTTGTGTAGAAACATGTAAATTAATTGGCTTTATTACAGTGAAAAATATTATTTAACATGCTGCATGCTTGTTTTTGTGAACCTTTTAGTAACGATTACATTAAAAAGTAAATCTGTTTGTTCAGATGTAACATTTGAAAAGTCTGATTCATTGTAGTGATGTATTGTTTTGAATCAGTAGGTTCAGATGTTTCTGTCCCTCATATCATGTAGCATTGGAAAGTCTGATTCATCTGAGAGCTAAAGTCCCATTCATTTTATTGAATCAGTTCAGGCCCTGTACATTCCCTGTGCTATGTTTTGTAAAAACATAGTTATGTAAAAAAGAATTTTTATTGTTGTTTAGGAAATATTTACCTCTTCAGTTTTGATACTTTCAGCCTAATTGGGATTGGTAATTCATTCAAAACCCCTCACTGTTTGTTTTGTTTCAGAGAGACGAATTATAGTCTGTGTCCAAAAGCTTAAGCAGCTGACTTGTTGCCTCACTTTCCTATCAGGCTTTATAGGCAACGTTTGCGCATGAAGGTACCTCCCGAAACTGATTTAGGACAGAGTTCTGAGGCAGCATATTAGTTTAAGGATCCACAACAAAATAGAGAGAGCAACTAACAACTAAGTAAATGTGTAATTAGCCTACTTCAATACTAATTGTGCGCTAGTAATGACATTACAAGTGGAAAAGGTTGGCCCAAAGTGCACATGTACAAACAAACTGACCAAAAAATTGCAACTTTCATTAGTTTATTGGATAGTTATTAGATCTTTTGTTTTCTTATGAATATTGTCCCTATTTATGTCCAATATTTGTAGCTTGAAGTGAATCTTAACTTTTTCAGAGCAGTAGCTCAACTCAGACTACTTTAAATTAATAGTAGTTTGTAACTTGGTAAACTACATTTTCAAAGAAGCTTCTGGTATCTGGATCTATCCTGGCCATTTGCTTGAAAAGTTCAGGAGTTACTGATGTAAAGCCGAGAAAAACATTAGAAATGGTGTTGTTGTTCTTCAACTCTGCATGCAATTTGAGGCAAGGTGATAACCACCTCAGGCAGAAAATGAAGTTTATGTGTCTTTGTTTCTCTGTCTGTCTCTCTCTCTCTCTTGTTCATTCTTCTGTTCCTGTCATTTGCAGTCTCTGTATGTGTCTACCTCCATCTGTTCCCTGTCTCTCCATATCACTTCCTTTCTTATACCTCCTGCCTTACTTTTCCCCTCTGTTGGGTTTCTCCTCGCAATCCTTCTTTTAATGTGTTGCGGTGCGGTAATCGCTGAGAGCTGTGTCATTGCACTCAGCAGCTCTTTTATGATGCTTCTCACTTGCTCCTTGTTCCTCGATCGACTCGTGACGGTAAACTCTAAGTGACTTGACGTGGCTTCAAACCTGCTTCCTCTGGAGACTTGTTACATCACACGATCTGTTATTTTCAATTCTCTCTATGTGGTCGCATGTGTCAGTTGCATAATATTTTTATATAAAAATGGATCATTCTCAGCGTGAATAGTTCTTGACATTGTGACCGCTCTCTCAAAATCACGGTACGGATTATTTGAAAACTGTCAGTTTCAAAGCACCTTTCTGTCTCTCTCTCTCTTTCTTCAGCGTGGAGCCGGGCTGGCAGAGGGTGGTTCAGGTGGATCTGGAGGTGGACGGTGTCGGAAGTACGGTAGGCAGCAGGTCCATTTCCTGGGCTGTGGAATATCCGGGCATCAGGGCCAGCAATGAGGAAACTGAGACGCAGATCCACCTGGCACAGAAAGACCTAGTTGGCATCGTGCCGCTGGCTATGGTGAGAACATCGTCATTTCGGCGCTCTCTCAGGGAGGCGTTGGGTCTCTTCGGGGAGTTCTGGGACTGACAGATAAAAGAGGCAGGCGGTCACGCTTTTTAGTTGACTTAGATATAATGTAAAAGAAACCGCCTGGGTTGTCATGACCATTTTTTCGGTTTAGCATAATCTCATGTTTTAAAAAGCAATGGTCCAGTAAAAATATTGAAGACACGAGTGACCAGAATCAAATATTTTAAATTACAACTACAATTATTTTGATATTCTTAAACAGTTTGCATTCTACACTCTTAGAAAAAAAATGGCACAATAGCTGTCACTGGGGCGTATCCTTTCAGAAGGTACTAATAGATGCCTAATATTAACTCTCCCCACCAGAGTATTACTTTAAGTCACCAGCCACAATTTTTTAAAATTAATTTATTTATTATTTACTTAATTACTTACTATATTACTATATGAATATTGTGTACAAAGTGAACAGCTGAATAATTAAGACATGAAAATGTATGAATACATACACATACACATTGGGTGTATAACATGCACCCAAACACCTACATATATATTGTTAAGCGTGTATACACACGTATACATACACATACTGTACATACAAACCCCTTATACATTGTACTGTGTATGCTCGCAAATTCATAAATGCATACATACAAATGCATACATACCCACGTATGCCTATATTCAGACACTTGACAGTGGAAAATATTTTAACTAATTAGAACATAGAATATATGAATAAAAGAAAAGTTACTAGTGACATTAACACCACTTATCTCTTAGGATACTACTTGTTTCCTTTAATATTAACATAAGCAAGAACTAAATGAAGGTGGTAATACACTAATCTGATTGCCGGATATCAGTTTCTTGTCGAAAAATTAACAAACAATATATACAATTATTTGAAACACTTAGAGTACACCCCTAAGCTTGACCACTAAACTATTTTTACAAATATATTTTGTCTTACTAATATCTTATATATAAGCTCTTCTAGGGGTAACACATAACTTAAGCCAAATTTCAAATATAGGCACAGACTTCCATTTCTGTAAAACTGCCTTCTTTGCTAAGATCATACATAAAGAAACAGTTTGTGACACATATTTACATCCTATGCCCGAAGTATCTCCAAAAATGCCCAGTTTTGGCCGAGGTGGCAAATTGATTTTATATGCTTCTGAGATAAATCTGAATATACTCTGCCCGAGTTGCCTGATTTTTATGACATGACCAGAAAGCATGAGACAACATACCTTCAGAGATGTTACATTTGTTAGAGGATACATTTGGCTAAAATGTATGTAGTTCGGTTCCTTTTCCCAATCTTGCCTAATATGATTAGTGTTTATGTTCACCTTATCTAGTAATAAAGCATAAAAGAAAGAAACAGTGCCTAGTTCTATTGAAATGTGATTACATAGAATTCCAAGTGTTTGATGAATAGATATGTTTTCAAAACCAGTGAAATATTTCCTAGCAAAAAAAAAAAACTGTAGATAAAATATCATATTTTAATTTAAGTTGACTAAATGAGCCAAATTTATTATCAATATATAAGTCTCTATGGAATTTAAACCCTTTTGCTTCCATTGGGAGAAAATCTTGTCTTGTATGAATAGATATGTTTTCAAAACCAGTGAAATATTTCCTAGCAAAAAAAAAAACTGTAGATAAAATATCATATTTTAATTTAAGTTGACTAAATGAGCCAAATTTATTATCAATATATAAGTCTCTATGGAATTTAAACCCTTTTGCTTCCATTGGGAGAAAATCTTGTCTTGAAAGCCAGGGGTAAAGGTGTGTTTTTTACAAATTGGGCTGTCCAGATATACAGTAGCCTCTATGTAGAAGATCCAAAAATGATTGAATATTTTAAGAAAGTTATTTATTACTATATTTTCATTATAAAAACTTGAATCAGTATTTATTGGACTATTCAACAAAGCTTCTAAAGATGTCTTCCTATAGAAAGTTATTTCTAACCAAACCCATTCTAGTATCTCTGTATTCTCTGGAGTTTGTCTCCACCAGGAAAGGAACTGTAAATTATCGGCCCAGTTGTAACATCTGAAGGAGAGAAGACTAAATCCTCCCTCTGCTTTGGACTTGCATTATGTTTTTTAGATATTCTGACAGCTTTATATTTCCATATAAATGAAATAATTATAGACTGTAATTTTAAAAATATTGACTGGTATGAGAACTGGAATGGGAAGAAAATGACATTTTGATTGCATTGAACTTAAATATAGAGATAGGTAAAGTCCTCCAAAATGTTATATTATCTTTTAGCTGATTCACTTTTATGTCAATTTGCCTTAAGTATCTTTCATGACCCCCAGGATATTTTGTTGTATGAACATGTAAATATATCAAAAGAAAGAACAGAGCTACATTCATTCTTTTTTATCAACACACAACAAAAACAAAAAGCTGAGAAAATTGCACTGGTATCCAAGACTTCATCTGGATCGGATTCAGAATGATGAGCAAAACATGAATTATCCAATTCATGACTCCAATTGAATCCGTGTATCATTCGATCATTTGTTTTTTGATTTAATATTGAAAGTAGAAAAATGAGAAAACGGCTCCTTTTTCGTTTTTTTGTTTTTTTCCAAAAAAACGAAAAATGAGAATGCAGCTTAAATTTTCGTTTTTCGTTCAGGGGTAGAAATATTAATAAACAGCTTGAATATTCAATTTCTACATGTGGACGGGAATTAAACGCCCCTTTCTGCTGATTGGTCAGCCAAAGTTCAAACCATGCCATCATCAGTTCTTCTGCAGTATCACGCAGCAGAATAATAGTCCTCTGTTGCCGCAGTTGTATGGATCCAGTCTTTTTTCATCAAATTAACAGGCTAATGAATAGCTCGACACAACTCATACCTGGGCAGAGTCTAGACAGGCATTAATCAGAACAATCAGTGCAGACAGAAACCATTTTAAGGACAGCTTGCAGGAAGGAAATGTGCTTATTGATGTAATACTTTATTATTTTTCTCTGATTAAGAGCACCATTCAGCCTTGACTGTGCTGAAGAATATTCAGAGGTTGCTTTGCTATTTCTTCAGAAATGTGCTATTGAGGAGTTCCAGAATAATTACATTTCATTATTTTCATTGTAATTGTTCTTGAATCAAATTTGCTTGAAATGGTCCATTTTTAAAGAATGATATTTGAGTCATTTAAATGATTTTGTAGATAATTTTTTTGTGTGTGCATATGAATACACTATCAATCATGACCTCCTTTCTTGCTAATTCTTGTGTAATAATTATTAATCATAAGGAAAAATCAATGCGAATATGCAGTCTCCAACTGGGATCTACACAAACATCAATGGGTCTATTAATGAGAATGACAATAATAAATATATAGCAATTAGATATTTCACTTAAACTCTTAACTGTTCATGGTTAAGTGTGCTGTAATATGTTAAAATGTTTATGTTTGTCTAAATAAATCAGATCAATGTCCATCTCTCTTGACACACATTTCTTACATTTCTGAAATCAATAATGCTTTTTGTCCATTTGTCCATTCAATAATGGAATCAATTTGCTGCAATCACTTGATTCTTTATGAATTATTTCCGATATGTTCTCTGTCTCCAATAGTTTTCCATAAGGTTGCGTAATAATTTAACCTAATCTAAGTAATAGACAAAATTATATCTCATTTATAGGTAATCCAACATATGATACCTCAACATATTTGCATTTTCGATGAGGTATTAGTGAAATACAACACCTGTGATGGTTTATTAATTAATCACCCTCCTGTGCCCTCTCATCTGAGACCCTGTTTGGCCATCTGAGGGACTTCAAAAGTCTTCAACAGCTGGGATTCAATGCTGCAGTGCTTGCTGTCACACTTCACTGTCCCCTCGCTAATCATTTGGCAGTTCCTGTGCCACTTGCTGCTTGTTGGTTCACCCCGTAATTGTCTGGCACGTGGTTGTGGTATTTGAGGTCTAACGGGAGAGTTTTGGCGTGTATGAGGCTCTTGCTCCAGACTCTTTAGGGCAGAGTGAGTGGTTTGGCTATCGCTTAGCTCCAGACGAGGTCTCAAGTGGAGGAGCTCAGGGAGTCATGCATGACTAGGCAGAAGGACTTCTCTCAATTTTTGTGTTTTGGATGCTGAAGAGGCATCCGCTCTGTGTTTGATAGTTTTTCATGTGCTAAATCGCTGGAGTTGAGCTGAGGTCTTGACGGTAACGTTTTATATGTAAATAGGCTACTAGGACTGTTCAATTAAAGATGTTATTCAGATTATTTTAAGATATAATTACATAATATGCTTATTATTTAATCACATTTTTGCATATATCAGTATTTGCTGATAAAAGCCCACAAATATTGCAGGAGACAAAATATTTCTCACTAGAGGAAAATTATGCATTGTAGAGTTCATGTACTAGTTAAGTTGTATAACTTGTGATTCCCTTTCAAGGAAATTTCGAACTGCGTCCTCTAGGGGTTGCTATGGGGAACGCCTCGTCGTGACCCGTGTCTGAAGCATACATTCAATAAACACCAACAACATGTTGGCCGGCGACAGCCTATGACGTCACTACCGGTGCGACTATAGTATAAATAGGCGCCGGGAGAACACGTCATCCTCTTCTTCGTCGTCATTGACTGTTTTGTTTGAAGCGTGCATTCCGGTGGTAAGAGCGATCTTTCTTCCTTTATTATGGCAAGCACTAGCAAGACGTTTAGGAGATGTGTGCATCCATGTCTTTGTTATTTGACACCTAATGACACACATGATCTTTGCAACTTTTGTTTGGGCGAAGAGCATGTATGCGATGTCCTTGAGGGGGCAATCTACGTTAACTGCGAGTGTTTTGCAATGAAAAAGCTCCGCTCTCGTTTGTCTCTCTTTTCGAGGAAATAGGGGCAGCCGTCTGCTCCCTGCGGTTCAGGACCCGCCACTGCTAAGGCACGGAGGAGAATGAGATCATGGGG